TAACTGCTGAAAGCGATACATTTTAGAGTGGAGCCTCAGGAGGTCTACTTGCAAGCAGAATTGTTCTAATATATGTCTTGTTAGAATATTAAATATCAAATATAAATCCTTAGAAGCAGAACCTGATGGAATCAAAATTTGTTCATTTTAGTTTCAATGAGTTCACAAAGTTTGATCTCGTTGAATAACTTTTGATAATGAAATACTTTTAATATAACACCGTAAGTTATGTACGGATCAAACTCACTAGCTGCAAACCACATATTCGGAAATGAAGTAACTACTTACTATCGGTAGCTAATATATCTGTAGTTTATTTAATTTTGATGCCAAATAAATATACCAAACGTAAATACAATTTTACTGTACCATGTAGGATCGGTGGAACTCTGTGGAAAATGTTTTCTGATCATATTGTTGAAGATTTCTTGTGATCACTTTAAATTATAAGAAATCATTTATGCAAAATAGGAACAATAGCAACAAGATGTAACTATCAAAGAAGAGATCTAGATGAAATTCACTTAATCGATGATGATAACCACATTATTTAGAGATTTATATTTTGAGATGACATTTTAGAAGTCTACGGTGTCATTCAAATGCGGATGTAGAAGGATGCATACCTAGGATGTCTGCGGTAGTAGAAGGTGACATATGCATACCTCCATTCAAGTCTTAAGTTAGTCCCTTGATAGAATAGGTCGACAGTGGTTCCATTTTATTTGATTGATTAGTTGTGTTAAACAATAGAACTTTCCGAACACAATTTATTGTCTATAGTCACATCAAGGTAACTCTACAACTTTGATACATCCTAATTTTTTTATTTTCCTGATGTGTAGTAGAATATCCCATAGATCCGGAACAAGTACTGAGTCGTTCATGTTGCATGCATACCAAGTGTTCATTTTGATGAGAAAGACTCAATTATCAATCTCTCCCTCCATCTCACTGAGTTAGCTTTAGGGTTTTTCAATCTCTCATGTCCTACTGTGTGGTTGTGTAATTCCATACATGTCCACGGCCAATCTTTTTTCTCAATTCCTGATCATACTAGGTTCTGCTAATTTTTATCTAAGTAGGCCCTTCTGCTCAAACAGCCTGATTGGCCGTGGTCAATTACTTTGACATTTTTATCTGACCAAGTCTTTGTTTATCGAATCAAAATTAAATATATGCAACAGAAATGACTCAGCACCGGTTCAGATATATGGAAAATCTTAGTATCACAAAGAAGGTGAGGGGATTAGAAATATATAAACCATGTCTCAAGGTTGTGGAGTTATCTTATATGGCTGTAGACAATAAATTGTATCTGAAACGTTATCCAGTTTATAATACTGTTCTAATGTTTGAGATATCTAATAAATCAACAAAAGTGAATTTACATTCTACCGCAGTGCCCATGTTTTACTCCTATATCAGGGTAGATACTAGTTGAAAGAATAATCAACGTAGCTGCAGAAAGTTGAAATTTGAATGAAGTTCTGCATTATGCTTACATTTACTGAGTGTTTTCAGTGGAATGCCTGATAAACAATGTAATAAAAAATACGTTATTCATTACGAGAAGAATAGTGTCAGTAGTGAAAAAAGTACAGCGCGAAGAATCTTCATGAAACAGGCTGAAATTCTTACCTCCAGACAAACAGATTCGTAAGTGTAGTGAAAAAAGGGAGGAAAAACGGCTGTACTTAAAACACTTTACGGAAACTAAGCATGAAAAAGCTATTCAAACAATATTTCAGATGCTACTTTCACAAATCCATCAAATAAAATAAGACTTCAAGCATGAACTTTAAAAAATGCAAATTTGAAATGAAAATTCGTTGAAAGTTTGTGGTATTTCTTGAGTCCACAGAACAGCAACACCGGTTGCTTTAAACAATGCTGTTAATTACAAATTAGAGCATTCCTTGTCCGCGTCCTATGTTAAATTGGCCAACAAGCTTCTTTGAACAAAACTCAACCACTTTGGATCATGGGTGTGTGCTGTGTTTGTGAAACACATATACAGAATCTAAGTGCCATTGTTCAAGTAACCTCTCACGGCCAATATGGTGAATTAGTAAAACTAACCCTTCGAGTTTCGGGAGCTTTTACGGCTGGTCCACGCTGTCTTACAGGTGTAGGTGTAGCATTAGACACGAGAGCAGAAAGCTCACTACTACAGTGGATACCACTTGACAGTTGCCTGTGCACTGTCCGGTTGAACGGCACAGTGATAAGTAAAAAGGAAAGCGAAACTCGCCGTTATATTTTTGTTCACCTAATGACTGGACCAGTTCTACCGAAAACTGTTTGGCCTCCTTCTGAAAGCCAAACGTTCGGACGTGGTTTCAATGCACAGGTGAGTATACTAAGTCAAGGAGAAAGTCAGTTAGTTGGTACTTTCGGAATCCCGGCTGAACGAACAGATAACGGTGATCGTCCACTACAATGATGCTTGGATAGCCGTTCATTTCTAGCCAGCACAAACTTCAGAAATACAGAAACACATTGTCTGACGTGATGTCCAGCAAGCTCGATTAAGCGACGGATACAGATAGACCACATTGTTGTCGGCCATCGCTAGAGAAAGGCGGTGGAAGACCGCTGAAAGTGTTCGGATAGTGGTCATTCTTTGGTTCGAGCCAGTACATGTCACCGTCTTCATGGAAGTAGAAAACTTTGGCAACAAGACCTACGCAGGTATAGCTCAATAATGAGAGGCTGTAGCAGAGAAGCATGGGTCTGCGATTCACTCGCAGGAGAGGTGACTGGAAAGATGGACAGAACACTCCAAGAAACAGTTCAACTGGCCTTCAGGTACTGTCACATTGCACACTATCCAGTCGCACCCTGAATAAAACACTGAGACAGTCCCCCCCCATCCAACAGTAGCAGAAGTCGGGAAGGTGGTAGGTCACAAGACAAGAGAAACTAGAGGTTGGAGACTAATCGATATGATTCAGAGCCGATGTCATTGGCGCGGATATATAAACACATTGTCCTCATCTTAACCACTATACTTCATCTCATTATTTTCTCACCCTTTCCTCCTATCTTCTTACTACTCTCTACTTGTTTTGACCGATTTTTCTTTCTTCACTTTTGATTTTATTGCCTTGTTAATTGATCTGCTGATGTAAGATGCTGTAACTTGAACCATTATGCAGTAGTGCTTAGCCTAAATTCTAACTAGAAGCAATTTATAAAGTTTTACAAGAACACTTTTAAATTAAACGTAGTTAATTACCATCGGTGTTGTAATTCAGATTATAGCATGCTAAGTGTTGGTTTAACCCATCCTATGGAAGTCATTGTAGTGTATGAACATTTATGATGACATAAATTTATCACTGTTTGTTGTCAAACTTGGCTGAATGTTCATTAATGTGTGTTCAGTTTAGATTTTGGCACAGTTTTAACTCCCAAGTGGCTCACTGGTATATTATTTTGCTTTTTTTAATATCTTTAAATATTTAAGACTGAAAATATATTTAAAAGATATAGTTAGTATTTCAGAAGTTCAGTTTTTATTGTTCAAAAATTTATTACTTATATCTATCACTTTCTTAAGTTTGATATCATACTACTAAGAATCAAAACTTGACGCCATTAAATATGTGAAATATGTCTATAATGCTGCAGTTTTGCATAATTTCTCTTCACTTGACATTCTAGTAATTTGAAACACGAACTCGTTACTTAATGAGTACTATATGTATTTAGCGTATCCCATTACTGATGTCCGCTCGTAATTTTTACGTATGTTGTGATACTTCCCGGATTTCTAGACCAAATATGGTGATTGTCCTAAGCAACCACTCACCAAGCCTCTGATTTGAGGTCTACTTCACAATATGACAGTATACCCTCAGGTATTGTATTCCCATAGTTTCTGGTGATCAAGATAGGCTAATACACCATTCTTCTGTTCTGCTTTGTGAAGCCGATGTGCACCAATGGGTTCCAACCTCCTTAGATATATACTGATTAAACACACCCAGTGATAGTTCTAAACTTTGCGTCTGTCTTCTCTGTTTTGCGTGTAAACCCCCACAATCGATTGGTAGGAATAAGTTGGACTTTCCTTACAAAGGCTAAGAATGCGTGGTCTTATGAAAGCATTTCAAAAGGATGACCAAGGAAATCACACCATCATTCATTCCAGAGCATTTCTAATCTTCACAACCATAGTTCCGACTCAAAAGGCTCTTCTTTAAGTGGAGAAGAATACTTCTTGCTTGATTAAATGTTTTGATGCAATTTTGTTTTCCAAAACAATTTTGGAGCACTAATTTCTTGAATGTTGTATTGATGTCACCGACCCAATCTCCCGCCAATAAATAACTTTTACAAAACCAGTAACTCGGTCAAAATATCTGTCTTTTTCACAGTAGTGTTCATCTTGGACTGATATCAATTAGAGAACCATTGAAGATGTGGGGGCATTAGATAGCTGTTTTGTCCTCGTATGGGACTTCTCAGCGTGTACACCAACCACTGCACCAGGGATCAAATTCAGGACATTCGGCTTTCACGGTGAATGTGGTTACCGTCCAGCCACTGAGACAGAGTCTAGTGGTTAGAAGTTGGAAACTGTAGAACTCCGACTTAGTGGCTGAACAAATTTGAAACTCATGAGTTCAACTTTTAGTGAAGTGATGGATGCATACTGCTGAGAAGTCTCATACCAGGACGAAGCAGGTGTCTAGTGCTCCCAGGTTTTTCAATGATTTTACAAATGATGTCAGTTCACAATGAATACTCCCTTAAAAATAAAATCCCCATCACTCCGAAAAATGCATTTTTCACTCTTTTTCTTTGTTTTTATGATCATTAATTTGTTTGAATAATGATAAAAATTGAGCAGTTATGATTGGTCAAAAGTAGTTACATTATGTTTTTTCAGATTGGCCAGTAACTGGATTTTCTGACGATGCTTTAGTCAAAACAACTATTCGCTTCTTTTAGTGTTGTTAGTATATTTGACTAATTTTACAGAAAAAAAAGAAATATCTAAAATACATCATTTTTCCAAATCTCGAATCATATTCATCTTCAAAAAACCATTTCAATGAACAAATATAATAATTCATGTTTATATATTCACGTTTTTAATGTTTAAAGTGACATTTGACTTGATAGTCGATGAAACCTCCAGAAATCCCACTGTTAGGACGTGTAATTATCACCTTTGTTGTAAGTATACTGGTGATTTTTTCTGCATTAGGTAATAGCCTTGTTTTATGTCTACTGAATAAAAGGCGTACACCTTCACGAATAGTAAATTGTTGTGAGAAACAAAATTCATCACCGTCATCACTTCAGGTTTCTGGAGTAAAACTTGGAAAACGTTCGGTTACGTATACATTTTTAGTTAATCTAAGCATATCTGACTTATTGCATATACTGATTTGTGCCCCATTCACCTTAATTGCAGATTTTTTACTGATTTATTGGCCTTTTGGCGACTTTTTCTGTCGTCTAGTCAATTATTTACAAGGTGTTGTTGTTTTTCTATGCGCATTTACACATGTCATAATATCAATTGATCGGTTAACTGCAATTCGATGTCCTATCTGGCGAAGACGAAAATTGTCCGTTAGAAATGCTCAGATGATATTATGCTTTATATGGTTGTGTGCAATGATTATCCCGATACCAAGTTTAATTGTTTGTAAAATAGTTACTGATGAGTATGGATTGACCCATTGTCAAGAAGTTTGGCCTGAAGATCCCACTGACCTTAATTGGATAATAAGCGCTAATCGATCGAATTCAAGTTACGCAACAAAAGAACCCATATTACCACCTATTTCTACATCATCACATCAGATGAATCATCAAGATTATAATGTATCAAATCAAGTTTCTTTGGAACTAATCTATAACTGGTTGGTTATGCTACTGCAGTATATGGTACCATTATCAGTTATTATCGTGACATATTCAGCTATTGTTTATCAAGTGTGGATGTCAGCTGCACCTGGAGAAGGAAATATACAAAGGGATAAAAGAAGCAGGGCAAGCAAAAAGAAGGTAAGAATAACAGAATTTGATATGGTACTAATATTAGCTTACTCATCAGTCATAACTAGATGGTCAAGTGTCCGAAACTGACTTAGTTCAGTCTTAGTAAAGCAAAGTGTAGTTAATACCGAATCAGACCAAGGAGATCATATTTATCGTATCAAATTAGATATCTGGTAAGGTTACATGTACCACATGTTTATTAGGAGTACATTTCAATATGATCCCACTGTGTTTAAATGATCAAAACAAGATAATCCTGAGCGTTTCACCATGTAAACCTCAGCTTTTTCCGTAAAATATCAGCATCAAAGTATACAGTGGCATAACATAGAATATTTAGTGTGTACAGGTCGTTGGTTATGTAGTTTGTTGTTCAGCCTGATTAATTATGACCATCCATCACAAGTCCATATTTATAATTTTCGTTTTCCAACTAAAAATGTAGGATAGTCAGAGAGTGTGCATGCTGCAGAATGTGTCGTTTCCTGTACTTTTATGGGAATACTAGTCTGTTGATAAACACTCAGTAACTGTCATTGTCACTAAAGCTTCAATAAGAAAAGGTCACCATTAATGGCTTTGTCTGAAAAATGCTTTTTAAATAGGTGAAAAGTCTCTTACTTAACTTCCGTTATTATTATTTGTTGTTGTTAAAATATGTAGGGCTTTTGAAGTTAAACTTTCCTTTTTCTCATGGAAAGCCTTTCCCAATATGTCTACACCATCAGAGTCAATCATGTGTCAAATTTCGATTGCATGCATAGCTACTGCTTATCACTTTTCTAAATTTTTTATTTATCTTAATTCTTTGGTGAATGTTTCGTAAATAATTTGTGTTCATCTACTCTAATTTTTAAGGGTCTACAACTTTCTCCTATCTAATTATTCTCACATCATAAACATTTAATTTTGTAGACATAGTTGTTCTGTATCATCTTAGTGATTGCATCTTTCATTATGACTAAAACGTTTCCTTTAGAATTCGAAGATTTGAAACAGACTTTAACATCATGCGGGGTGCATACTGTTCTTTTTTTCTCAGAAGTGCCTTTCGATATGGTGTTATCATAGATGACACCCATGACTTTGTGATACCTTTATTGTAATTGGTACTTGGTGTTTTATTCGTCAGGTCAACATTGCTGTTTTAAAACTTTTTCGAGCATCTATTTTCGGTTATAAAACATGTTTTACAGCGTAGATTTCATTTTTTAGATAATTACGATTGGCTTTAATGCTTTTCACTATATTTAGTAAGTTCATTGATACAATAGCTTTTATCTCAATAAGTTGAGACAATATAAAGTTTAAATAATTTTTGGTTTCTTGCATATTTTTACATTGAACTTACCTTCACTTGTTTTTTGGGTAACACAGTCTAAAACGTTTAGAGTCCAGTCTTTACGTCATATTTCGTTAGTGAGTCTTAAGGAATCTGAAATTGGATTTCTATGTCATAAAAAAGCCTGTTAGTTTACTTCCTTAAGGATGAAATTTGTATGAACCTGTAGCGACTGATCACACTTAGTATGAACACCTAACTATATGGTCAACGACCTATATACACTATATATTTTGATGTACTATGTGACTATGTAGTTTGATGCTGATAAAATCGAATGTTCTGCCAGAGAAACTGTGGTTTGCGTAACGAAACGTTCAGGATTATCTTGTTTTGCTGTTTTTCATACGCTAGGAATATGCTGTAGTATATTTTTATAATGATTAAATCAGACTCTGTGCTCATCTTCTTCAAGGACATTCGTAATAACTTTGATCTGGATGTTCATATATAGCATCTGATTTAAGTATTTTATCTAAAATATCTTTCAGTACCTCTTTGAATATTTTTGTGTCTGAGATTTGATAACAAACTCCTGACTCAACAAATTTAAGAAGCGCTTAACGAAATAAAGGAAAATTTAACGAATTCATGCATTTCAATCGAACTCCGAAGTTAAATAATTCGCACACTCAGCTAAGTTATGCCATGAATTGATGTAAGCACAGGCATTATATATTCAAGTCTATAAGGACCAAGCGTGTTTACAGGAGAGATAGTAGTTATTCTAATCGAGCTATGGTAACACCTTCATTGTTATGGTTTTATTATTCACTATTTTTCAGTCATTATTGCTACTGAAAAATTGACATTGTTATGGAAATTTCGTGGCCTTTACTCCTGAGGTCCGTTTGTTGAACAGATAGGTTAGAAGTGGTGACCCTTTTAATCCTATCACTTTACATGTCTCTAAACAGTTGCCAAACTTTGGTTCCAAAACGGTCCCTTCACAGTCATTTAACTGCGCTTTAATTAGAATGACAAGTAACGTGAAGTTCATTAGCTCCTAAAATGTTCCCATATATCCACTTGATCCGTTAATCAATTCATTTTCGGTTATTACACTTTATTTACCGTTTTATTAAGTAATATATCTGAATTTTCCATAACATCATATCATTGCGCACATATTCAGTCATGTAGAGCGATACGATGAAGATTTATGTTAAAGTTTTAGGATTCCTTAACTACTGGCTTATCCATCCGTGTAGTCCATTTCAAACTTTTAACAAGGAATAAAATTTCTTAAAACCTTCATTTTATTGAGTTGTGAGCATATTATTTCAATGAGTTTTTGGAGAGAAAATATGGATAAAGTAGACGGTATAGATGTGAATTGTAAATAGAATTGAAAGCATGAAGACCCAAATTTGTGATACATATTGGATTTTATTGCTTGGCATCATATCCATTGGTTGTATTTTTGATTAGTCGTTGACATAAGGCGAAAGTAACACTTGAAACATTGGTAGTTGGGTGAGATATAGCATTTTATATGAACTAGTAAGGACATAAATAGATGCAGTAAACTACAGGGATAATACCTGGACCCAGGTTTTATCCTTCACTATAATGGTTAGCATTTAAAGATTCCTTATTTGAGTTACTAAAGGTTACTTATGAATATAATCAAGGAATCGATGTTTTCAGTATGAATGTAAAATTTTTAATACACTACAAAATTAGGTAGACATCGCTGTTCAATGGGTAATAACTATGATAATTCATTTTCTTAATTCTAATGGACTCTTCCTCAACTTCCTTTGGTGTCGGTGAATACCAAGAAACTATGATGATATCAAACTCTCGCTATTATTTTCCCTCATACATTCAAGTCTTCTATCTCCTGTAGTAATTCATGAATGATGTGACTTATATTCTTATATTATATGCGGAAAAGATTCGATATAGTCAGGGAAGAAGTAGTGACAGACATTTTGTTAATTTCATATTTAGATCAACTTTATTTATCTGATGAGAATAACGTAAGTAGTGTTCATTAACTAATTCGATTTAGTGAGACATTTTAAGAGACATCGTCATTAATTTATTACATAAAACATGACATACTGCAGCAAACCGTAAATTGCTGGCTGGCAAAAGAAATACGGTTTATCTTTTTAAAGAAAAAGATTGTCCGTTAAAACGTTTTCCTCCAAGGTTATGTAGTTGTTTTAAAACCAAATTCATGACCAACAAAATCCTTCCTATTCCTTGATGCAATCATCTGCTTGCAAATATTTCCATGACAAAAAAGAACGAACGATTAAAAATATAGTTTTGGTTTGAATTGAAAAGTTTGACAGTAAGAAGGTAATGTATACAATAGTTCTTGGTTTGTTTTAATATGTATTTCAACAAATAATTATAAAAGCAGTAGAGAAAGTGATGGGAAGATATAAAATCGAATGAAATAATGTGAGTGAAGTAATAGAATTTGATTCATCATGCAAAGTTAAAGAGATTTTTGGTCTAAGAGAAGACGTAATAGGATTAGAGAAATTTTTTAAGGAAAACTGCAGTCGTACACATCATGTTATCTACCTAAATAAATCAATAACCAAATTAGAAGACTGGAATTTAAATTTACAACAGGACTCCAAGTGAATGTAGAGAAGACGGAAGTGATGAAGATACCCACCCAACAACAGCATCAACAACAAGGGGCACCAATCACCATTCAAGGAAAGAAATCTAAAGGAAGTAGTCTCTTTCACTTACCTACCTACCTAGGCAGCTTCTTTTCGACTACAGGCGGCAAAGACACAGATGAGCATGTCAAAGCTATTGTCTTAAAGACAGCATAACAGGCGTTCATTAACCTGAAACCAGTGTGCAGATCTACTGCACTCAGCATAAAGCGTGAACAAGACTCGGATTTTCAACACCAATGTTAGGTCAGTGCTGCTATATGGTTCAGAAACTTAACGTGTCACGAAAAATATTTCCAACAAACTAAAGACATTCATCAACAGCTGCCGCCTACGCTCACTCGATACTGAAGATCATTTGGTCAAAATAATAAGAATAAGCAACAAGGAACTCTGGTAACGAACAAACCAAGAACCCAACAAATATGCAGAAGAAGAGAGTGGAGACGGCTTGGATTGGGCGTACACTGAGAAAGCCGACTGGAGACATCACGCGTCAGGCCTTTGAGTGGAATACAGAAAGGCAACGACGAGTCGGACGTCCGAGACGAGAGCCACATGGAAGTGATCATGTGAGGAATAAGTGAAAGCTTAAGGGCTATCGTGGAGCGAGGCTCTTTAGACAGCAGAGAACAGAGTGGAATGGAAACGTGCTAATGAAGACCTTCATACCTAGCCTGACATAATATTTTGCTTGGGGTGGATAGCAGCATGATCCCTCACCATTTCTCGCAAAGGCTTAGGTCTCCCTTCTTCGGGAGTTTGACAATGGTAGTCTTTCTTACAATCAACCAGCAGGTACCATTCCTGTCTTCCTTCTAAAGCTTCTGCACTAGTGGTGTGACAATGTTCCTTGTTGTCTTTGCGTCTGTTTTCAGTGCACCTTGTGGAATTCCATATGGTCCTGCTGCTTTCATGTATTTCAGCAGTTTTATGGCATTCAGGACTTCACTTCTGCTTTTGTCGAAGGGCTTGTGTTTACTCGTAGTCCTGCCGTTGTTACAGGCGGTCAA